GATTGTGATTCATTTTGAGTCAAATTTTTGAAAAGGGTATATGGCCCGGCCCGGTGTGGCTCAGCAGTTGAGCGTCGACCTAGGATCCAGGCTATCGGGGTTCGATTCCCGGTCAGGGCACATGCCCGGGTTGTGGGCTAGGCAGTTGATCAATGACTCTCTCATCATTGATGTTTCTGTCTCTCTCTCCCTCTCCTTTCCTCTCTCTGAAATCAATAAAGACATATTAAAAAAAAAAAAAAGAAAAAAAAAAGAAAGAAAAGGGTATATGGTCTGTGTCTAGATTCATCTTTTTTGCATGTGGATGTCCAGTTGTTCAGCACCATTTGTTGAAAAGACTGTTTTTGCTCCATGATATTGCCTTAGCTTCTTGGTCAGAGGTCAGTTGATTCCATTTATGTGGGTCTAATTTGGGCTCTCTGTTTTGTTCCGTTGATATATTTTTCTATTCTTTCTCCAGTATCACACTCTCTTGATTACTGTAGCTTTAGAGTAAGCCATGAAGTTGGATAGTGTCAGTTTTCCAACTTTCTTCTTTTTCTCAGTATTGTGTTGCCTATTTTAGGTTCTTTTATTGTTTTCAATGGCTACATATTTTCCACTCTATAAATGTACTAAAATTTACCAGATTAATTGTTTGAAAAAAATGATATAGTGAATAACCCTATAAATACACCATTTTGCATATGTTCAAGTACAATAAAGGATATATTTTTGGACGTAGGATTGCTAAGTTAAAGCACATATTGACTGTATAAAATAATAATAACCATGTTTTCAGTGGGAACTAGATAAAATAAGTGATATAGTTGGAGAAGCAAAAGGAGTTAGTTAATATCTTCTAAAGTTCTTGCATGGTTCAGGGGGAACTTAAAGATATTGATTAAATTTAGACTTTTATAAGTGAAGCATGCATGTTAAAATTTCTAAGCAGTCACTAAAGTTTATTAAAAGAATTAATACCTTTCTAGCTAATGGGGAAAAAATTGAAATGAGAAAAATAATAAATCTTGAAGTCAAGGAAGCTGAGAAAAGAAGTATAAAATAGGCAAGACAAGTAGTAAGCATAAAATAATATGTAGAAACAAACCCATATGTATCAGTAATTATAATAAAATGAAAGATAGAGTGGATGAACAATGAAAATTTAGATATATGCTATTTATAAAAAAATATGTCTAAAATATAAGGATACAGGAAGGTTAAAAGTAAAATAATACCTAGGGATAAATAGGTGATTAAAAAACAAATGAAAGCTGGCATTATTGACATTAGCCAAAACACACTTTAAATGCCCCCAAAAATATTTTTAGAGACAATGAGGGTCATATTGGTTAAAAAGTTGCAACTCAGAAATAAAAAAAACTTGTATGCATCTCATAACATGACCTCAGTGTATAGTAAACAAAAACGGACAGAACTACAATGAGGAACATATATTCCCAGCAAGATTGCAATACACTTTCTAAGTTCTTTATAAAGTGGGGGGGAAAGATCAATTATCATATACAAGATTTGAACAGTACAATTAATAAGTTTGAGCTGACAGACGTGTGAAGATCACTACATCTCAAAATTGTGAGACACATTTTTAAAAAAATTTATCTTTGCTGTTGAAAGTATTACAGATGTCCCCTTTCATTACTTTCAAACACACATAAAAATTTTTAAAACGTGACCTCAAATTATGTCATCAAGCAGGTCTTAACAATTATCACACAGACTAGATATGTGACCACAATGCATTCAGCTAGGAACTGGTAACTAAAAGAAAACACACTAGGACCTTGGGCTTTAGTGGTGTCTCTTGTGAACTTTAAAAAATGAACAAAGTACCCTTTTATTTCTTTCCTTTTGTGTACATAGCTGGGAGGGGGCTAGCTATGGAATTAGGCTGTTTGCAGAGCCTTTTAACAACCAGTTTGGCAATGCTTAGAAACCTGCGGGAAGAGGGGGAGGGGACTTGTGGTGGTGGGAAGAGGAGGTGGTGACATGCCAGCTGGGGAGCAGAGTGGGGCCCCTCTGACCAGGGCCTTCTGTGCCTAACTCAGGCTTCTAAACTGCTCTGGAAGCTGTCAGCCTGGGCTTGGGCCAGAGGTGGAGGAGCCTCGGCCCCTCCCACCCCTTTCCTGAACTGTGTAATTGTCTTAATTTGCCTTAAAATTAGTGGAGAAATGAGAGAAGGAGCAGCTTTCTTTGAAATCTTACCTTTTAACTAGATTCACAGATGCTCCTTGATTTACCATGGGGCTATGTCCAGGCATATCCATTGTAAGCTGAAAATATCTTAAGTCAAAAATGCATTTAATATACCTAACCTACTGAGTAGCAATTATTTACTATCTTTCACTGTCTCTGTGGGTTAGAAATACAGATGGGGTGCAGACGGGTGGCTCGCCTCTGCTCCCCTGTCTGGGCCTCGTCTGGAAGCCCTGAAAGCTGGGTTCAGAATCCTTCGCAGGTTTATTCACTCACACGCCTGTGCTTTACGTTGCTTGTTGGCTGAGGGCCTCGCTGGGGCTCTCAGTTGGAACACTTGTACCTGGGCTTTCTTACAACTTGGTGGCTAGGTTCCCAGGACAAGTGTCCTGGGAGAGACAGGGAGCCAGTCAGAAGCTGTGTCCTTTTTATGACCTAGTCTTGGAAGACTCATAGCATCAATTCCAACTGATTTTGTTAGAAATGAACCACTGAGTCCAGCCCATAGTCAGAGGAAGGCGCATTCTACAGTTGAAGGGGAGGAATATACAAGACTTTATAGGACATATTTAAAAGCCACCACAGTACATAACTCTTTAGTTCCTTCTAGCCTGCTATGGCTAGAACCTTGGGTTTGCCCAATCTGAAGCTAAGATTTCAAGTCCCATTGCTACCTTTTCTTAGCAGCACAGGTGAATCACTTACTCTGACCTAACACCCTCTTCTCTCCTCCTTCCATCCTGTTAAAAGGAAACCTAATGAGAGTCAGGTATGTGCATGTGTTTTGCTAACGATATACAATGCACAGTATCCTGCCATCTTCTGATTCTAATAACCTCCTTCCTTGGACTGAGAATGAAAAGAGAGTGCAGAATAAAGAATGATACGTGAAATCATAAGATCAGGTTAGTAAGGAAAATGATCATGAGTATAGACAGGTCCTCTTTAATTCTATGTAACAAAATATTTCTAATATAAATAACAAAGGCACTCTTTGTAGGAAATAGTTACTACTGATGTTACTGAAAATTATTTCCAATTCTTGAAAAAAGTTCTTATTAAAAATATAGCCCTGGCTGGTGTGGCTCAGTGGGTTGGAGCTTCGTCCCATACACTGAAAGGTCGCAGGCTTCATTCCTCGTCAGGGAAAATGCCTAATTTGTGGGTTTGAACCCCAGTCGGGGCACAATGGGAAGCGGCTGATTGATCTTTCTCTCGCACATTGATGTTTCTCTCTCTTCTCTCTCTCATCAATGGACACATTCTCGGGTGAAGATTAAAAAAAATATATATATATTTCAAAGTTACATACATATATGTATATGCATAATATGTAAATGCATAGAAAAAATTTGGAATGATATATACTAAACAAAATTGGTCATTCCAGGGTAAGACATTAAATGAGGGAAGAGGGGACTTTCAATAAAAAAAAAATTAACTGCATTATTTATATGCCTAAAATACTTTCTTAAAAAAGAGATCTCTGTAGTGTGCAGTTTTGGGTGGAGAGAGGAGAGGACAGGTGGAGCAAGTTGTCTTCATAACTTGCTGTTTCCTTTCACGTTTTGCAATTGGGTGCATAGGAGATTTTATCTTAAAGTGCTGGGACTCTCTTTCAGCCTGAGGGAGTAGGAGGCAGCCAGACTTAGCCCGGAGGGGATGGGACTAAAAGAACCTGGAGCCAGAGAAAAGGTAAGAGAGGTTGGAGTTAGTGAGATTAGATCATTGTTGGGCAGGGTTAAGAATGAGCCTTAGGGAGCCAGGGAGAAAGCTCTGGCAAAAGCTGTAGGAACTTTCACCAATTGTCCCATGAATAAATAGACAAAGCTCTGATGATTTATTTATTTATTTCACCAAGGGGCTGACTTCGTCCTGGGACACCTTTACAAAACTCTAGATTGTTTTAATAGGACAGATGACAAATTGTTTCCCACCTGTGGACTTTCCTTCATGCCAGCCTCGCTTGGTTCTGCCTGGCTTTATTCTGTGACTAGAAAAAGAGTTGGAATTCTGAAAAGTTGCTTTAGCCAAATCCTGTGAACAAAGGGGGCCTTGTTCAGGGTTATGCACATCAGCATTTGGAGGAGTTTAATCCATCAGTTCGGATCTCTGCTTTTCAACTCCTTGCTCTAGTTAGCATTATGTTTCTCTGTCTGTGGAGAGGCAAGCCCTGTGGAGCAGCAGGCAGCACTTCTCGGTCACTCTGCTTGAGGCCTGTTCCCTGTTCTAGTTGCACCAATAAATTCAGCCTGGGCAGAGCCAGACCCTACTGGTCCTAAGTGGACACCTGTGAAGAATCCAAAAGAGGGAGGCAGGCTTTGTTACTGTGTTTGGCTTCTCCGGGGCTACGTGGACACTGTTATAATTTCTAAGATCTCCATGGGTCACGTAGTCCACCAGAGGTACTGACACAAAACTCAGCGACGGGGAGTGACAGCCACTCTTCCATTGGTCACCTCCCCTCCAGCTACTGCAGCATCCTGACAAGTTACCAGCATCGGCAGGTTAGGGTCCTGGACGAATGCGGCCGAGGCCTGGAGCGCGTAAACCAGCCCGAAACTCATTCCCGTTTGATTAATTTTCCCGGTAGACAGCAGCTATATGCGAAACCCCGTTCTACCCCCTGGGAGGACGGGGAAATTTCGTAGGGACCGGGGGACTCCAGCTCCGTGCGTGTGAGGAGCTGTGTGCCAGATGGGTTGCCCCTTGATGCCAGGTAACTAATGCCACTGGGTTACCAGTGTGAGCGCATGGCTGTCATTTTCTTCATTTCTGCCTCATTCTGTTTCCCCTGACAGGGCAATTTGGCTTTGATGCTGTGCCAGGACCCCTCTGACAATGAGTTACTGGCACCTGGAGAAAAGGAGCCGTGTGCAGTACCGCAGGCATTTTCTGGTGGACAACAGCGTGTTTCACGGTGAGCCGGCGTCTGTGTTTGTGGTGGGATTTTTATTTTGGGTCTGACAGCACTTTTCTTCCAGCGCTCTGGATGCAAGGTTGGTATAATTGTTGGGTTGAACCGAGAGCGTGAGTGAACTTGTTTGTGGATAATTACCGAGAAGGCCATTGGACTCGTTCCCTGCAGTTGTTAGCAGAGTGCCCACCTCAACAACCACAGTGGTCGCGTCGTTTTCTACCGTACAAGTTAGTTTATTTCAGTGCCTTTTCTACTATATGGTCAACTCCAGGGATACCCCTTTCTGATGTTTGAAAGTTGGGGATCATCAATCAGTGCTTATTACCAGTACAGTGTGTGCCTTCTACCAGGTCACATGTAAAACCAGAACAGAGCAGTTCTCAGCACTTAACCATCGCTATCAGGGGGGATTACCGCAGCCATAAATCACACAGTAACTGGTATTAGTCATTTGCTTGGCGCACTAAGACTGATTGCCTTTGCCCTGCTGGTGTGTTTATTTCATGGTATACAGTCAGGGATAAGCTCTGTCAATCCTGCTATCAGGATACCCTTGAGTGAAATTTATTTAAGAGGCAAAGATTTATGTGTTGCCAGAACTTTTGGAGTAATCTCCATCAAAAGCTGGTGGAGTTGTAGCCGGGAAAAGAGCGATTTCACAGGGAGTGGAGTGCTGTTTGACAGAACCCTACAATCAAAGCTGCCTTCAACTTTCTAAGTTTGGTTTTTCTTCCCCAACTTGGTGACGGACAATGTTTTCATTACTTTAAGATAACAAACTTAACCTTACTTTATTAAAGCACTTTGGAGTTTCAGTGTTTTCCCACGTCACTGTGGGCTTGACTAGGTAGAGGATGATTTTATTTTATGGGTCAAGAAAGGAAAGCAGACATGAAATGACCAGCCCAAGTTGAGCTAATGATTAGCAAGGTCAGAACTAAAATGCTGCCTCCCCCTTTTCAGGCTGGCTGTTGGCATTGCAGGGGTGAAGGAAGGGCCCTGAGCAAAGGAGACGTGGGAACTGTCACTTAACACGAGGGCACTGAGTTCTACTGAGCTTTCCTGTGACCCTCATCTGAGGGTCCTGTTTATTGCTTCATCTCTCACATACAGTGTTTGCTGTGTGGTATTTTCTCTTAGAACTTTATTTGTACTTTAAAAGATTATAGCCCTGGTTGGTGTGACTCAATTGGTTGAATGTCCTCCCGTCAAGAGGTCACAGGTTCGATTCCCAGTCAAGGCACATGCTCGGGCTTTGGACTTGATTCCCAGTAAGCAGTGTGCAGGAGGCAGCCAGTCGATGTTTCTCTCACATTGATGTTTCTCTCTCCCTTCCTCTCTCTCTAAAATCAATAAAAAACATATTTAAAAAAATAAAAAAGATTATAAATATGGTAGTCAAAGAAACACAAGCGTTAGAAAAACTTGCTTTATTATTTCAAGTTCTGTTTTGTGCCAGTTTTGAAGACGTTCCAATTTAAATGCCTTCATACATAATTTTAGAATGCCTTTGTCCAGAGATCTCAAGTTTATAACGATTTAAAAACCATTTCCTATGTATTTTTATAGTTGTATCACCACTTAATGTATTTCTATATTGCAGATACTTATGCTGAGGGCTTGATGATCATTGTCATACTGAATCCTTTCAATACCTTTGTAATAGTTATTAATCATCCCATTTTATGGATGGGGAAACCGGAGGCTTGGGAGAGGTTGTGAAGTGCTGTTCTAAAGTTCAAACTGTGTTCTGCCTAACTCCAAAACCCCACTATTGTCTTCTAGGCTGTTATCTCAATTTCAATAGAGAAAATAAATTAGCACCCGAGAGGTTTAAGTTCTATTCAACTGTATTTTCTCCGCTGTTAACTAGCAGTGTGTGATCTTGAGCAGGTTATATAATCCTTCAGGATCTCATTTCCCTCCTCTGTGAAATGAATGTGCTGGTCTCGATTATTCTTGAGGTTCTTTCGAGTTCTAGCCTCTGAGATCCCGTTGAAGTATTTCTGAGAATTGGAATTACTGTTTTTTGTGAGCAACCATTTCACTAAACATGAGATACACAAGAGGGCAGTAGAATGCTTAAAATACGAACAGATTACTTCTTACATCCAAGAATTACTCTTTTTGAAAGGATGTAGAGATTTTACATCTGCCCAAGATTAAAATGATTAAAGCCAATTAGAATTATAATTCTCTTCATTTACAGTAAAGCAGTAGCTTTAAGTATTTCTGATAGCGTAAAATACCATTTTGGATCTTTATGCCTAAGGGTATGTAATTCAGGAAAGAATGATCATCTGCTCTTCTTTACCTCTGCAGCAAATTAATGTAGTTAATATGGGAACTTATTTAACTTAATGGAGAGTTATAAGGATTCTTGGTATATTTTAAGCCAAGGGAGCTCTGATGATAATATCTTTGTAGAGGATTTCAGAACATGTCTGAGAGGAGAAAGGAACAGGACATGTTGAGTCAGAAATGTCAGATTTCTTTTAGAGGGGCTCCTGGAGCATAGGACGGGCGCTTGGATGCTTTTTGCGGATTAGCTTGACTTCTCCTTGTCTCCCAATAATTGTTCTTACATTACCAAATCAATAAAACAAAAAGAAAATTGCCTGTTTATAAACAGTAAACAGCCATTTCCTCTGATTATTGACTTGTAGAATATAGAGACTTGGATGTGCAAATTGTGCCAGCCAGACTTTTTTCACACAGATTTAAGTGGAATTCCCAGGAGGAAAGAACTACATTAAAATGAGGGTTATGTAGGCTAAAATGGTCAATAAAAGTAACAATAAAAATGTGACATATGTATTCTGTTCCACAGTCATGAAGCATATTCATAGCCTTATTTTATGGTTCTCATTGGAAACAATTTAGAAAATTACAGTTCCACAACCCAAAGAGAAACACTGTTAATAGTCTGTTTCTGTCAGTCTTTTGTCTATTTTATCTTCACAGCAATCCTGATGTAGACTTTGAATATCTGGAAACGTTAGGAAATGGTGGATGCTAGTCCACAGAAACGAGCTGGTTGACTTGACTTAATTCTGTGTTCAGTGATGAGAGGAATCCTGTTAAGAGTTATGGAAAGTTGTGTTTGTATTTTCCACTAGTTTGTCCTCTGCCCAGATTTTTAGGGGACCTATTGAATCCACAGGAATTACGTACCTGTCGAAGAAGCCAATCGCTGGTGTTTTTTTCTACTTGGCTTTTATCTCCTGATATGTTTGAAATAGAGAAAAAACTTGAACAAAGAATGATTTGTATAGTATGAACCTTTTAACGGCTTATACATTCATCAGAGTATCCTTATTTAAAAATTACCTATATACTCAGCTGTTTCTCTTGGTTGCAGTGAGTTGCAGCATTTTTTGTCCTGGGACACATGTTCTTTAACCAATAATCAGTGTGTTTTTAATTAATAATACAATTTCTTATGCACATAAGTTTTTCCAAACATTTGAGTTCTTTAATAGAATATGCTTGGAGGTGACTTAATTTTTGTTTTCATGCATTGCTAGTTATAATTGTGATGTTGGAAAAAAATTATTAATTGCTTTCCTATAAGTTATTGTAGTATCATCCCAACTTACTATATTAAAGTTTATTTCTGTTACTATCATGTTGTTATAGGTGTTAAGTAAAAATGCAACCGAGGAAATTTCAAAGATCTAATCGGATTTATTGATCTATTAATGAATCGGGCAGCACCCCATCTAGTGAGTAGAAAGGAGCTCTGGAGGGCTTTAGGGAGGGAAAGGTTTTTAAAGGAAGAGAAGAGGTGGGACAAGGAACTCATAAATGAAAAAAAGGTTATTTTGGGGAAGGTCACCTATCTTTGGGGGACAAGAAGGTTTGTAAGGAGGATTACTTCATTGGTGCTGACCAGGAAATTCCAGGCTGGCTGGTTAAGATTACATTCCTGAGGGACGTTGTAACTACAGTCATGGGGCTTAGCATAAATGACTCCATTTATAAATGACTCCACGTTGTTTCTTAACATGTGAATGTTTTTGAATAACCATCATAAATCTAGACTAGAAATATTTTGAATTGCATTATGAGTGTCTCTTACTACCTAGGGATAAAATAAGGATAGTTCTCTTATTAAATATTTATGTAGTATGCCTTTTCAAAAAGTGCCTCATAGGTATTTTTACTTTGCCTCACAACAACCTTCAAATGACCTAATTACTTAGTTTAATTAAACACATTTCTTTTTCATCCAGTCTCCCCTTCATGGCAGAGGCCTCCTCGGTGAAGTGAGGACAGAAACTAGACTGCTACTTTGTAAAGGAAATGGGCGGGAATGGGATCCTGGAGACTAGTTGTTTCCACTTTTACTATTAACTTGTGTAGCCTTTGTCACCTAGGAGATCCTTAGTTTCCCTTCTTCTAAAATGAGGGTTTTGCCAGATTCCAAAGTTCCCTTCTAGCAGCAACATGGGTGGGGTTTGGTGAAGGGGAGTGTCCTCCAGGCCAGGATGTGGGAAGGAAAGGCCAGCAAAACGGTGATGAAGTAAGATGCCCCTTTAACTGTAAACTTTGTAGTTAGCTCTGCACTTGCATAAAGCTGCATTTCTTTTTTTTTTTAGGAAGGGGGGTGTGTGTGTGTGTAGGATGCTCCTGAGTTCTTCTTGACCGTGGAGAGACCGATAGGTAGGACTGACAAGTTTTCTGGACAAGCGTCATTGTATTAAAAAAAAAAAAAAGGAATCAAGAAGTTCCTTCACTGGAATTCCATCCTCACTGGACGAAGAAGAATGCCAGATCCTGCCTGGTCAGTAGGAAGGAGAGCGGAATTATGCAGAAGTGCATTAGGGTTTTCATTAGTTCGGGCCACATTATTCACAAGTTAGGACTTCTGCAGCCTGCCTGCTCTAGAGGCTTGAGGTACTCCTAAATTTGCTATTAGAGTGTCACTTCTTCACTGAGCTAAAGCCTAGCTTTTTCAGCCAGTAACTATATAAGCACACTCTTCTAGGTCCAGAAAA